CCATCAGCTTACCATTGGCACAAAGCTGATGGTGTACAAGCCCATGGTGCTGTCCGCTCTTCTTTACGACAGCGAAACGTGAATGATGTACCGGCGAGATGTGAGCTAACTAGAGCGGTTTCATCAACAGTGTCTGCGAGGGATTCTGCACATTAGTTGGTGCGGCCAAGTTTCAGTCACGAAGGTGTTGCGCCGAAGTGGAATGTATGCAGTGGGCTGCATACTTTTGCGGAGACACTTGAGGTGGCTCGGTCATGTGTGGCGTATGGATTCGACGCGAATACCGAAGCTGCTGTTATGGGGCCAACTGAGTGCAGGGAAGCGGCAAGTGGGAAAACCGAAGTTACGTTACTAGGACATGATTAAAGTGAGCCTCTCACGTTCTAGTCTTGATTGCAGGTCATGCGAATCGAAGGCGGTTGATCGGCGTGTTTGGCGCAACCTGTTCACGAACGCAGTTGCTGAGGTGCAATAGGAAGCCCTGGTGCAAACAGAGAAAAAGCGGCAAGTACGGAAGCGACAGTCTCCGATGAGTTGTACTCCATCGACAGCGAGCGTGTGATAGTGTAGCACATGCGAACGCGAGTGCCTGAGTCAGACAGGCCTAGTGAGCCATGAGCGAAGCCACTCGGGGCCACCACCGAAACGACGACGTGTCCTGCAGAGAACGTAGACAGAACCGGCACAGCGTTGGTAGGTACGCTGCATTCCATTTACTAACGGTGTGCTTGCGTGCTGAGTTTCTTTATTTCAGTAAGTGGATTTACTATCGTGTTTCAAAGCAAATCTTTTTACCTCATCCTAACGTTTACCTGTACTTGCATACGTTGCTTAACGTAATCGTGGCTAAGTTAGCCAACATTTTCTCGTTTATTGCGCCTTGGGTGTGCTTGAGTCCCAAATACAGCGTGCTTGTGTTTGGCTGTGAAGGAGTGTGGGCCAGCTCCGTTGATGAAACCTGGTTCTCATCCACATGCCTCCAGGTCTTATTCCTTAGAGTTTACACTGGATATGGGGTGTGTGGATGTAGCTGTGGGTGTTGCAGCGCAAGTCACCCATGGTCCCTCTGTGGGCGCAGGCATCCTCTGACTGTCCTGCGGAAGCCGCAGTGACAGGCAAATCCGGAACCGGATGCCACCAACCATATATAGCATCTGGCTGCCTAATTTTTTTTTACAGGAACAATATCTTCTGGAAAAAAGCGGCCCTACAAAGAAGAATCTCTGCTTCACCGATTTTGTCGACAAAAGTGTTGAGAAGCCGCAATGTTTTTTTGCAGCAAAGTGCTTACGACGACGAGCATGAAACTCAGCAAATTGAAAAACCACTTCGAACGAAGTCATTCTCAGTTAGTAGGAAAAGATATTAAATTCTTCAAACGGAAAGAAGTTGTGCTAAAAAGTTCGCGCCTGGATACAGCGGACTCGATTTCTCCGTCAACTGTAGCTTCGTATCGCATCGCTCTTCGAATCGCGAAAACAAGAAACCGCATACTATAGGAGTAAATCCCATAGAATCTTGTATAATGGATGCCATTAAGCTCGCTCATGGAGAGCAACAACACCATCAAAAGATGTATCTAGGTCATGAGCAAGAATATGTTGAACACGGTGCTCAACGAGATTGAGTCGTCCTTTCTTTGCAATAAAGTTAGATGAATCGACTGCCGTGGTAGCTTGTTCCCAGCTATTTGTTTATTTTTAGTACACAAAAGGGGACGGCTTCAAAGAGTACTTGTTCTCAGAATCATCGAGCACAACTACACGTGGCGAAGATGTCTTTCGAACAGTGAAGAACTTCGTCGAGGAAAAAGATCTACGGTGGATGTCTGTACAGACAGAGCAAATCCATGTTGGGCGTCCGTTCTGGATTCCAAACATGTCAAAAAAATTTGCTCCGCACGCTACCATTAGCCACTGCATCATACAACGTTATGCTTTAGCAGAGAAAACTCTTCCATCTGTTTTGCTGGATGCGTTAACCAAGGTTGTGAAGATAGTAAATGTCATCCACGGTAGTGTGACCTATACAAGAGTTTGCAAAGAGTTGTGCAGTGAATTTGGAGGCAAATTCGATGTTTTTGTTGCACATAGAAGTACGTTGGTTATCACGAGCAGGGTGTTGCATCGAGTGCTCGAGCCTCGATAAGAAATTGCAATGTTTCTTGAAAGGAAGGTGTTGCATAAGGGTAAGGGAAACTAGTTACACGTCAAATACAGAAAAAAAAGAAATGTGTCAGCTTATACGCCGTAACGGCGCTTCGCTGCCGCGCGACCACCACCAGTCGCGCGCGGGCTGAGTATACCGCGAGGACGCCCACCCCTACGCGGATTCGAACCGGTGACCTTATGGTTGGAAAGCAAATGTGCCGACCACTCGGCCACCGGCCGACAAATACAGACAACGTACTTATTTTCAAACTACCATATCTCGCGGATTTCTTCGGAGAAATAAATACGCTGAACTCCAGGTTGCAAAGAAATATGATTACTATTTTAACTGCTCAGGATAGGGTTGCCAGTTTTCTTCGCAAACGCAGAGCTACGCTTGACGACTTGTCGATGTTTCCAACCCTAACAATGGTACTCGTTGGAAGAAATGAAAAATGCACATTCCCAAATTGTTTAACTTGTCACCTGTTATCAGTAGTGCATTCTATTATTAAATATTTACCTGATTCGGACAATCGCCAAGTAACTGCCTGGATGCTAAGACGCTTTACAATGGATGAAGAAATGTTTCCAATTACTGAAATCGAAGTCCAAACACAGTTCATAGGAATGCACGAATATAGCGAATTGAAAATATATTCCTAAAGCACACAACTGGTAGCATCTTGAGAAAAAGATAGGTGGTGAGTATCCGTTGCTATCGGAAGGAGGATTGAGTGCATTAATCCCATTCGCAACCACTTATAGATGTGAAAGTGAATTTTCAACAATGGTGACACTGAAAACAAAATCGAGGAATCGAATGAACTTGGAGCATTAGCCGAAACTGCACCAAATATACCAGAAATTGTTAGCGCTAAGCAATATCAACCGTCTCGTTGATGTATATCGCTTCTTCATTGCATAGAATGTTGCGTCAAATTAACTGTTTTCTTTCTTTTATTGAGGGAGAGTAATTCCAAATGGCTCTCACCGCCCGTAATAAACAAAAATCGCGGTTGTTATTCGTTGGGTAGCCTTTGAAACGGAAATTTTGGGGTAGGGTTGATTATAGTAAACCCGATTTGTGAGTAACAGCCTCAAAAAGGTTAAAAACCGCTGGTGTACAGAAACATGCGGAAAAAGTGTGCTATCGCTTTCTGACAGCACCACCAAAATCGTATTCAGCACTTGAGCAAAAATACTTTGGACAAAGTAGTTAATGAAAGAAAGTCATGCCTTTTCTTCGTACTGCACTCATATGAGCGGACCGATGTTACATTTTGTTCCAAGGCGGCGGCTTCAAAGAAGAGTGTTTGTTCGCAGAATCACTGAGCACCACTACACGATTTGCGAGGTGTATTAACCGAAACCGCATCAAATATGCCAGAAACTGTGTATTCATCACCATTTGATTCAATGAAAAATTGCTCAAAAATGGGGGTTTCTTTAGTTGAATGATTAAAAGTAATTACATATGGTTTTCAGTTTCCGTATTTTAAAGCAACCAGTGCAATAGTTACTAGATAATTGGCCTTTGAAAATTTTGGGGGTAACTACTTTGTGGCTAACGGCCTCAAAAGGTTGGGAACCACTGGTCTACGCGAACACTGCTGCACAGACTGGAACATTTGTTTTGCACCTTGAAAGTGCAAATTACTACTACAGGACTGCACCGATACACCACCGGTTCTAGCTATCACTGAAAAGTCAGTGAAAGAAGTCGATCGGTTCACTTACCTTGGTAGCCGTATCACCTCTGGTGGTCACATCACTGAGGAAGTTATTCCGCATATCAGCAAGGCCCGTGTGGCCTTCTAGAGGTCAACTATCTATGGAGACGGCGGGATATCAGCCTGTCAGTAAAAGGCATGGTGTAGAACGCTACAATAATGCCGGTGTTACTGTATGGATCAGCGAATTGGCCAGTCGGTGGTGAAGATAGTAAATGTTTGGCCGTGTTTGACCACCGGTGCTTGTGGAGTATTGCTCATGTTTGATGGGAACACCAGGTGAGCAATACTGAGGTCAGTCAGTCGGTTTTTGGTAAGAAACCTGGTGCCTCATTCGAGCGATTGCCAAATCGTAAGCACTTACGTTCGTTAGGCCATGTGCTCCGTATGCCGGTTGAACCGCTTTCTTGGCGTGCACTATACGTCGTGGCTACATCAAGTTGGGCGAGACTGCGAGGTGGCCAGTCCATGAAGTGGTATATTCGCATCGAGAAATTGACCTAGATACTTAGTCAGGCTGGTGCTTGTCGTCATCATGGATTGGGGCCTCGAGATAGTCCACACTAATGGTTGGATACCCATTCGGACACGGCGAAGTCACGCACTCAGTGACATTTCTGCATTCGGTTGCTTACATCTGGTTGCTAAGCTTCATTGCATCCTGATCAGTCTAACGCGCATCAATGGTTACATTTTCATTACATTCTCTTGGCATTCAACCTTATTTTCTTGTCGTTGGTTGTTACTTCGTTTTGGCTACGTGGGCAGTAGCAGTTGGATCCACCGCACTTCGGTGCCCGATCATAGTTGTTTAACTGAACTGAATTATAAATTCCAAAGCAAAGTGACCAGAAGCACGAGATTTGTGATTTCTAGCTCGCAATGTCACATCACTCAGACAAAAGACGCCTTAAGACACTGTTAATGGCTGTACACACACAGATTTCAAGTGTAAGAGAGCCAATACCAACCTGGAGTGATAAGCAAATAAGTATCCTTTGACTAATCAGCTCAGCACTTGGTTCCCATCAGCAAAACAGACCGCGCAATACTTTGTAATCAAATGATGCAGGGCTGATGCAAAATTCGATAGGCAAAGGAGAAGCGCTTGGCTTACCTCGATTGGATGTGAGTTCTCCAGAGCATCGAGGCGGAGTGCCGAGGCTATTTGATCTGACGTGAAGTGGGTCTGGGAGTGAAAATAGAGACTCAACAATAACGGACACAGAGAAGACCAAATTCAGGCGAGCACAAGATATTGGCAGAGTAAGTTAAAAGACTCCGATTGAAGGTCAAATATAACGAAAGAGAATCCAGGGTTAAATCTGATAGGAGTTATACAATGTCGAAACTCAAACTAGCATTAACTTTCCAGTGTTTGTTGGTGTGTCTAACCGGGTTCGCAAAAGATTACCAATGATAGAACCAACCAAACTAGGTGCTTCAAGGAGAAATGTATGAAGGTACAGACAAAGGTTCAATTGTTGCGTAGTATCAATGTGGCAACAGTTTTAGGGATAAGTAAAACAGCTTTTCGATTGGATTTTAGTTGACTTCAAAAGAACAGTGAATCTTGGCAAAAAACTGCACTTCATAAGTAAAAATTGCATAGATCCACCTAGGCAAAGTATCCAGAGAAGGGAAACGGTGAGTCTAAAACGAATGGCAACGCCCTTGCAGTGGTTATAACAAGAGTAGATCGAACCCCTAAAGTGCTAAACCGGAATTAGATGAGACAGCTGAGTCACGTCTCGATCATCGATAATCGACAATGCTTTGGGAAAGTTGAAACATTTGCTGACTCCGTTACATACAGAATTCGTTAGTGTGAGCATGAGTAAAACCATGAGGCGATACCGTGCGTTGTACCAGCGGGTGGGAATTTCCACGGGATGATGTAGTCAAACGGTACAAAACCTCGCACGCATAGCGATCCATGTAAAACACTGCATCCAAAGCGAATAGCGAGCAAGCATAAAGTAACCGAGCACATTGAGCGTTCCAGTCAGCATCGAGAGGCAACTGTAGTGAAAACACGTGCCAAAGAACGGAAGTATTAAGAGTTATGGATCGCGCAGGTAATCGACGATAAATTATTAAGTGCCAATGCGACGATACGGGACCTTAAGTGGATGCGAAGGTTTGTGCACCTCAACGATCCACTGAGTTATATTGGGTGGTGCCTCCTGCACTTTCAGAGTCACGCACAACAAATTCAACAATCGGTAGAAGCTAGACAAACTCAGCCACCCGGTCCTCCAGGTTGGGGATTACAATGAAGGCGGATCATTACCCCTTCAAACAGATTCTGTTTAACCACTCAGGTTTTACCTCAGGTCTCCCGTCTTGCCTATCATTATTATTCGTTCCGTAGGTCACCGTGGTTGTACGGCAGCGAAGAATCATTTCAAGTGGATGATGTTCTGCTGTTAATGATGATGATCACTCTGTTTAGCCGACTACTAAACACCTGCCATCAGGTTTGTAAACTAAAGACCTTGGCTGAGAACCCTAATCGTTCGCTTAACTTGACCTAGACAACCTGACAGCACCCTGCTCATGTAATACAGTGAGCCCTTCACTTCCGAAAAACAAGCTCCTGACGCTCTGGCCGTCAACGGCTCCCTTTGTGGTGCATCAAGTCGTGTAAATAGGGACGAGGATGCTACTACTAAGGAGTTCCCCTCTCCTTATTCACCTCATCTGGTGCTGGTTGAACTTTGTCGTCCTCTTCCAACTACACATTTATCCCCCCTCTGTGATGAGCTGCACCTGAGTGGCCAACAAGATGTAGGCTCCCGTAGTGATAACGGTGAGTGGTTGCTACACCTGTGTGTAGAAGCTGGTCTATTTCTTGCGATCACTACCTTCCGACACATCATCTACCACAAGGCTGCATGGCGCCCACTATCCTCGGACAAGTCATGGACGTTGATCGATCACATTGTGAACAGTTACCGATGGAAGCATTGTGACCAAAACTGTCACTCGATTTGGAGCACGAGCGTGGACTCTGAACACGCACTTGTATGTGCCGATCGGTGAGTTTGCTTTGGTGGACGCATGTGGCGACGCTGTGAGCGCATAGACGCCTGCCAAATGTCGAAGATAGGTAGTCTGAGTGTAACACAAACAGCGCTGGAATGTGAGTTGTGTAAGTGCTCAACGAACACAGTTGTGATTCACTGGTCGCATATACGCGGAAAGTCATAAGTAGCAAGCATGTGTTCATGGCGCAATTTGGGCATTGGGTCTTCACGCACTCTCTAGATCGTCTGGATACACACCGATGCATCCTGGCTGGAATCGAACAGAAAGAGATTCGCAAATATCTCAGATGGAAATTTCGTGCTAGCCTGAATAGTGATTACGAAACTTGATGGTCTCACCAGTGCAAAATGGAGATGGAAATAGCCAGTGTCCTTATTACCTATGGTAAGTCTGATACGCAAAGCAGGGAAAAGGAGACATAGTGTTAACGAAAGTATAAGTGATGATAGGGTACCGCCAATCCACATCCCGTCAAAACGCTTGGAACGCTGCGTAGAACAGTCTGAAAAGCCGATTTGAACTCTGTGCGAGCAGTCAACTCACCCCACCGATTGAAGCTGTTCCGCTATTGTCACGATTTCCAAGAGAGAATCAAGTTTGTAATGTGGTAATTATAGGGGGATCAGTTTGATCCCCATCGCCTCTGAGTTACTTGCCTCTGTCGTCCTCCATAGACCGACCATGCGTGTAGGCCAGATGCGCGAGGATAGAGCCGTGTTCCGTCGAAATCGAGGTTGTATTGACCACAACACTGCATTACGTCAGTTGTTGAAACACCGCCATATGTAGTGACGACCGACCGTAGTTGTGTTCCACGACGTCCTAGATGCCACCGATTCGGTGTATTGATGTGCCCTTTGGGACTGTCTGTTCAAGAGAGGTGTGTCCGAGAAATATCCAAATGTCACAAGAGCGCTTTACGCGCTTAGTTCGGGTAGAGTGTAGACCTATGAAAAACTCGTCACCATTCAACATCTCCAGCAAATAGAGAAGGATGACCGATGTTATTGAAACTGGGTTTATTGGGCCAGAACTTAAGGTTTGGAGCTTCTCCCTAGTGATCGATCTCTTGACTTGAAGTACGACGACGCTGCCCACATCAGTGACAGCACCCAAACGTGCCAAGCGGCACTGGACAAATAAGCATTGGAGGTTAATCATTTTGGATTATCCTTTGACTCATCAAAATGCAAGGTCCTTCTCAAAGATTAGGAAGGACTTAATCCATGCGCTGACAACTCGGTGGTGATTCGTTAGATGTCGTTCAGGAGTGCAAGTACCAGGGCTGCTATATTAGCGCCAGTGGAATCGAACTTGAGGTCACGAACCGCATAGCAAAAGCTCGAGGTGCTTTTGCCAATCTCCGCCACCTGTGGCACCGACTAGACATCGCTTTCAAGCTAAGGGCAGAGTCTACGATGCAACCGTCCGTTCAACCCTTCTGCACCGTTGCGAAACCTAGCCCATCAGGTTGACAGACATAATGACCATCGCTACCTACGCAGCTTAGTTCCTATCTGGTGGGAACATTGCGTGAACAAGGAGCGCGCTGGGCGTCACGTAATTGGTGCATGTATAGTGAGTGAACCACGCAGCACCGTGATTTCACGCACTTGGCTCCGACGGCTGAGCCATGTATTGTGCATATCAACACACCGACTCCTGCGACCGGGGCAGCGGATGTAGCACAGGAGGCCAAACGAGGACTTGGTCAAGAGGAATGAAGGCCCTCACTTCGAAGTTGGCCTCAGCTGGAGCCTCTCGGCTCCCTGGTTGGGGACCGAAGGACGATGAACACGTTTAGTTGGGTACACTTTTTGACATGGCTAGGAGCAGACCTCAATGGCATTGGTGTTGTGAGTTACTTTGTCCTTCTCCCGTCCACTTATGGTCTCCCTTTAAAAACGATCACACATCCGAATAATAGCACGTTATGATCCACTACATTACTTGTTTTAGGTTTGACTTCGCATGATAAAATGTTTATATAAGCAACAATTCATTACATCTAGATTCAATCAGAGAATAATTAAATGCCCGGAAAAGCATGGCACGGCTGTTTCACCCTCTTGGAAATCGTCAGCAGTGTGCATTCTATTTAACCTATGTGTGGCTCGAACTTGCAACACGACTGTTGGCAGTCTGTGGTTGAGACCACTAGGCTACAGAGAACGGTAACGACGAAGTTACCTCATGTGATATAGTGCCACCCACTAGGGATTGACTTAAACGTTAATGCCGTGTCGATGACAGGGTAGCATCCTAACAAAAATGTTTTGTATCTCGCCTTTTATACATATCTTGTCTTTTTGTATTGCGTACCATAGCTGGGACGATTTGCACCTTTAGCTCACGCATGATGATGAATATGATGGTAGTGCATTGGATTAGAGAAGCAGAAAGAGAAACCAGATAGAGCTGATGCATGGATATATGAGACGTCATAGGGCGTCAAAATTAACCAAGTGCATCCACATGCGAATTTCCGTCTATCAGCATACTGTGAGAGAACAACGGAACATCCTGAGCGTTCGGAAGTGTCCGATAAAGTTCCCAAACCGGTTGAGAAAAACGATTGACATCTCCGCGATTGGCACATCGCAGGCACTTACTGATAAGTGGGTTAGATCGATTCGGTCATCAGCATCGAAAACTGTGTGATACACAGTAGCATATCAGCAGTGTGAAATCCATGTACCTAAGAAACTTGAGTAGTGTCACAGTGCGGTTGAGAGAATGAAAATGAAAACGTGTGTACTGGGGAAGGAATGAAAATTCACGTGCGAACCAGAACGGAAATAGTGAGCCGGAATTCGTGGACCGCAGTCAGCGTCCATAAAATGGGTGGGGTCAGAAGCAGCTCCTGTATGACAGAAATCGGGTAATCCGATGCAGCGATGTTTCCCGAGTTCACGATTATGAGGCGAAAACTTGGTGAAGAAATGGTCAAAGAAATCGGGTATCATCAGCAAAGTGGAGTATGGGGATTGTACACCGCTTATGAAAATTTAGCAACCAGATGGAAAGTAAACGGCTACAGAACAAATTGAAAAGTAATTGCTGAGACACTGGTAAAGGTAGGGAACTCTGAATAGAGAAGAGATATCACCGTAAACACCAACTCAATGGCATTAATGGAAAGATTGTTGCAGTGACGGAGGACTGTGTCGGAGATTTTAGTTATATGTTCACTTTTTCCCCAAATCAGTCGAGGCCACCGGAAGTAGAGGATCGCCAGACACAAGAGAGGATGCACAACTCAACACCCGTACTGCTTACCCAGACATCCATTTCAGGAAAACAATGATCTACACAAAGATACTCAATCCAGCTGGCGAAACCCTCCTTGAGCCAAAGATCAGTCCACCATTCCATGGTGACAAGATTCCCGAACCACATGTGGGCCAGTTCATGACTGATTGTCAGAGCAATCGCCTCTTTCGAGGATGGGGACGAATTGTCCTTTTCCACCAACAAGGTGCGTTCGCTAAAGAGATGAAAATATAAAAACCAACTAAAATTTACGACCGCGATAAGAGACGAAAAGACAAGAACGTTCGGTAACATTAGATTGGCAGTAGACACAAAGTAATACTTATCTATAACACGATGGTGTTCTGGCTGTTTGGAAAACCTATGAACTCTAATCAATGAGCAAATTGAAAAGTGCCGTTGATTAACGAATCATACACGTTAAAGTATTGAAAAGGGAAAATGGGATGAAGATGAGAGGATTTCAAAATGCGCATAACGAAGTTTGTGTAAGTCATGAAAGGATGAAGAGAGCAAGTAACAGACAATTATCAAATTTGACATTACTAATAAGTTTAAAGTGTACTAGAATAAGAGAACGTGGCGCTGTTACAAATATGCCGGAAGCGTATATGCGGCAGCAAAAGCAACATGAGGAACTGCGTGAAGAAATTATCAAGTTACTTGTAATGTTCTCTTGGTTAGAACCAAGCGAATTTGTCTCTTCAGGCTCCTGAGTATCGAAGACTCAAAACACTGGACCCAAGAAAGTGTAAAGGTAGAGTGAATAAAAGACAAGACAGGCTACCCCAGGGCAAGGCAGTGAAGGGGGCACACTGCCACAAGATACATAGCCTGAGAACAGGCATGGTGATATGGGAAGGCGGATGCTCAAAGGCGCTTGTAGATTTATGGAACTGATGATAGGAACAAAGTTCCATTTCACAGGAAACACAAGTGTCAAAATAATGGGAACATATTTTGACTCTGCTCGTAGCCGGTAGTGCATCTGCTTGTGGACTATGTGTTTCAGCACGTTTATGGTGGCACCATAGAAAATGGAGGCATGTTCACGGTGCGTCAAGTAGATTTCCGCTTTTTGGAAATGTTGCTGTTTCGAGCTATGTCTACTCCAACAGCAATGTTACAGTTTGGACAAAGTAAGCAGAAGCCGTATGCTGTTGGACGAATTGATGAGCTTGAAGTAAGCGGATGATATAGCGCCACACAGGCGCTGCCAAATAGGTTGATGAAGACAGCCGCACGGTTTAGCATGTGATCCGTACATCTAAATTGCAAGGTCATGATGCAAGACTAGGTCAGTATCCCGTCAGCCCTCACCATTAGTGAACAAGTCGAATCAGTCGAGAGGATTCTTGTATGGTCCGCTACAGCGCATCGATCGTAAGCATCCTCGGGACGGCAGCTACGTGTATCACTGGATATCAAGTCTACGTATGCATCACGGGTGAAATGTACACCACTGCAGTGTGTGACCTGCATTACCGCATGGATAAGAAACATATCCAGTATGCGCAGGAGACAATAGGAGACCTATCGTGCTTGAGCATCGATGCCTAAGAAGCACTGCTCATGTTTGGTGGGATCACCAGCTGGATTCAACTAAGTACACGAGTGGGTGTTCGCCAACAAACGCTCTGGCGCCACATGGCTCGTTCGCTTAAAATGAGCCGCCTGCGATAGCATGTTCAGAATGTCCCGATGCCTACCAACAGGTTAACTTAACGGGTGCCGATTGTGAATATTGCGTTTTGTTGGGTAAGATCCCAAAACGGAAGGTCGATGGAATGGCAAAAGAGTGGGAAGAAATTGATCAAGAAGCACAGCCGGTAAAGGCGGACCATATCCATGGTGTACCCGAAAGTCAATGGTGCATTTGTAGCTAGTACTCGGTTGCCGAACAACCTCCAGGTGGTGCCATCTCAGTACTTCGGGTATCTCACGTTCCATCGGATGGTTCGGCGGCGATCTTCCAGGCCGTGGTGGGTTTTGGTATGACAAGTGTTCTCCCTATAAAAAGCCACAAATGTCTGTTTAACAACACCGCGACGTGTCGGAGGCGACCCGGCAGTATATAAAGTCACTATCTTTTGCATACTATGATGATGTTATCCGCACAATGGTTGGCGGCATCCGGTTCCGGGTCCGTCTGTCACTGCGGTCTCCACGGGGACAACAATAGGACGTCTGCGCTTACAGAGGGACCATGGATGGCTTGCGCTGCACCATCCACAGCTCCATCTATGCATCCCATATCCAGAGTAAACCCGAAGGAATAAGACCGGGAGCCATGTGGATGGGAGCCACGTTTCATCATCGAAGTCTTGCTAGAGAAGGCTGGTACTTTGGACCGACAATTTGCTGCCATGTGACCACATGAAACAGTTGATATCATCTGACTCTTCTATCATACAGTGAATACGAAAAATCTACAGTACACCGGTATCTTGCAGTCATCTATCGCTGTAAGCGGTCGTATGAAAGTTTGGGGTATTGCGAAGGTTTCTAGGCCTAAGCCATGAGCAGGCACTTGAACGCGGGGCATGGGAGCTACAGGATAGACTCAGGGGAAAATGGGCCACGGGTCCTCGAAATATGAAGCGCTTCACAACTTTGTGTGTCATTCTTAAGCATGAGCGATGTCAAAGTTTTCTATACCGTTCTAATATTAGTGTATGTATGTCTACATAACGAGCTCCGGTGATTAATATCCGAGTTCGTTACAAAATTCAACACTAATTACGGATCCATTCGTTCGTCTTAACAAGTAATTTATACTAAAAGTATAGTAGTGTATGGTAGTTGAACCAACTGATTGGTAGTAAGAACTTCAGTATTTACGACTCATCGGTACAAGTGTGTTCAAGGGATTGGAGGCATGAAACTTGTTGCAATACGGAAAAAAGATCGTAAATAGTAAAAAGGCACTTTCAAACGCGAACAGGTAAACATACCGAAACGTGACGAGACCCCAATTTTCCATTGCACCGGAAGCAAAGTCGGGAATCGCGAGTAAGTCCACCTTGGGCAAGGGATAGCGGATACCGAAGAAATCCCCGTAGAAAGGGAGGCTGCGACACACAGTATCTAGAGCAAACTCACCGCGACCAGATTCCGAAACGAGACCGGGTCGGGAGTAGACACGCGCTAAAACCTTGTCGCTATCGTGTGCCTAGATAACAAAGTGAAAGGGGAAAACCTTATCTGACAACAGTGGCATGTTGTGCGTACGTCAGGACACCAGATCCCTCTTGCTCTATCTCTCCCACATACAAATGATCACTGAAATGTACAGCCATTTCCAGCTAACCGAGCCGTATCGTTTGACTGCCAATTACGTGGTGACTGAACGCGGGTTGTGATCAAACTCTTATCAGAATACATGTCATGTGACTTTTGCCGGCAATCACTTTTGGACATGGGTTAAACAGGCAACTAGAAGCTTAAACCCCAGACATACGGAATACTTTTAGTGGAAATGCAAAAAGTAAGAGAACTGGTCCAGTGATATGCACAAAACGAGGAACAGAGTGAAAATCAATCAATCAATCGACAGACATCAACAGGGTACAAGTAATCAAAGAAACAGACAAGCTCATAAATGGTTTGGATCGCGGTGTACCAGCGAGTACAGCGGTGAGTTGCTCACCGTTTAATGAACTGGGACCTATGCTCATGGTGTTGGCGCGCAATCGGGAATGGCCGCGCCTAACGGCAAGCGAACAAATGACCTCATTTGATCTGGACAGTTGGTCGGCGTAAACAGACTTGCAAGGAACACCGCAGAAAAAATCGCTACACACTCGTAAACAAGAGCAGATGGCCTATATTGACAGATGGGCGTTACACAAAAGTGCAAGCGACAACCAACTTTGACGAATGTAACGAAGCCGACGAGCAACGCGTAGAAACTATCCCAAATGATTCAAAACAGAGTGAATTCAAATTCTACGGTGCTATTCACAAGACATCAGTGACATAAAAAAGACTAACATCAATTATTCGGGTTCGTAGTTCGACAACGAAAAGCGCCGGATTAAAATTAAAATAGTGCACACGAAGTACTCCAAGTCATCGGCCGTCCGAGATGTAAGTAAGTAGTGTTGAACAGGTTAGCTTTGAGCCGATAGGCAGACAGACATTCGAATTCGATTACAACGCGGGCTGTGCGCTGAATGGTTACGTTTCGAGGATGAGCAAGATAAGCACCTGTGTGTGTGGACAGGCAGGAAAGTTTCACACTTGTACGGTCACGATCGCACTGTGTACGCGAAGTCGGGAGCAATGACACAAGGGACGAGGTAGAAACATGCAAATAAGCCCAGAAATGGAGACGAGGGGACACAGATTTCCGAACACACACATACACGCAATGTACATGGTGTAATGTCAAAATCCGGAGGTGCCGTAAAGTTAAGTTAGTGTGTGTCAGGAGAATATCACATAGACTAACAAATGTTGCTACAGTGAACAAAATGGAGCTATACGACTCGGCTGCCGTTGACATTTTAAGCCAGCAAGCAGTAACAACGGTCCGCTGATACCAGCAACCGGGTACGGGTTAGGGTGCTGATGCGAGATCGCATGTACCCGCGCAGACTGGAAAAGGTGAGTTGTGGAATACAAGTCAGAAGCCTTAACAATGGAGCCATCATCATCAACAACGTCATCATCGTCAACAACGTACGTCAGGCAATTGAAATGATGCTTCACTGCCGTATAACTACGGTCACTTACCGAACGAAGAACAGTAAGAGGGGTAGAAGGGGCACCTAGCGTAAAGCCTTAATGCCTTAAATAAACATTCAGGGTCAAGGCGCCTACTACAAATGGGCAACATACCATCACAAACAGCTAGCTATCGTGCAAAGACAAGACAACGTCAGCGAGACAGCTTCTTTGCGGCTTTCATTGCCCCGCGTCATAAGCAGCCATTGGCACACAGATAACTCAGCACCAAACACACTTTAAACAGACAGTGCGACTAGGAGACGACAGCAGACAGGCTACTGGTGCCGATTGCTAACCCTGTCCTGTAACGCCTCGAGCCAAGCACAAGGCGGAGCACGTAGATTCCAGCGTGGAAGGCGAGACGGACCAACAGCACTGAGTTTGGTCGTCAGTGACTACATTTTGCGCTGCCAAGTTAATTCTTGTCCACCTCGAGCCTTGCACCACCCCATTTCTGGTGGACAAAACAAGGCCCTCCTCGGTAAGCGGTGACCAGGCATACGTAGTACGTTCCCAAGCCAACGCAACTTATTCAGTGCTATCTATTGTTCTAGTGAGCTAGCATGATTATCACTGCCTAGTACTGGTTTACGCACATCATCGTTGCGGACACGGTGGTGCCACCCGACACCGGTAGTGATCGAGGACTTGAAGGTGCCGCAGGTCCGGTCCTCAGTCGAAGAGGCCAAGTCTCACTCTCATAGTGTAGGACGGCCAACACTGACTAAAAGAAACTCCTTTCTGACGCGACAGATGTCGCGGATTCAAGAATACAATCAAGGTATTTGCAATGCGCAAATTGACTTCAATCGTTATGCGCCCATCATTGCGGATGCAACTACCATGGTAGGTAAAGTGATCAACTACCTCGAGTTCCTCGTCATCAATGGTCAAGGGGCCATCAAATGACTGGTGATGCGGTAACAACACTGCACTTTGAATATGTGAAGCGCATGCCAAATGATGGAAGCACTCTTGAGAGGTTATTCAGGGTTGATTGGGTTGTCCTAACAATGAACAGGGAGGTCGGTGCTTTGCAGAGAACCTCATCACCATCCCTAAATAGTACGGGTGAGAAGGAATCCGGGTCAGCAGTACGAAAACGATTAAGGACTGCGATCGTGTTCCGGACCTCAGCCTCCGACGGAGCCTCTAAACTAACCGGCCATGGTTCAGCCTGCAACACCTGAGTAGAAATAGGTCCAGAAGTAGGACAACTGAACTGTATTCACTCGGCCAGTGACCGGGCGAATGTTAACTCAGACAACCCCGGAATTCTGCAGAGTCACGACGGAGTATCATCACTAACGTTGGCTAACAATTCGACAAGAACATAGTAGGTTGTTGTTTGGTTGAAAGTGTACCGAAGTTTTTAAGTAGCATCTTATCTAATACTTCGAAAAGGTCTACATAGTTCATATAACTTTCGGAGTCAGAGGCCCTTGCAAATGACCTTCAAGTGAAGTTACTAACGAAACTATGGTGAGTTGTTTAAACTACATCTGGTGACTTCAATATAAGTGATACAATTATCAGCACAAGTACCTTCGTAGACGTCCAGATTAGAATGGATGCATAACCACACTTTGATTTCATAAAACAATATCCATCTGCTTCTACACAAAACCGAGCTCCCTCCGCAACTGTGAACCTTTTAACCTATAAATATACCCCGTCGCTTAAAAAGCAATCACAATCGAGTGTGCGCACTGCCGTACTTTTGAGATGCCAACCATCACAGGGATGCTTGTTGGAATTTAGACAGAAGACGTCTAGTAGTTCACTTAAACAGGGTGGTGGACAGCATCTCGTACAATCCATAACGCCTGTGGCGGATGAAAAGAAAACAGCAAGGCGTGTCTTCTATGACTGATACAAACTTGATGGAAGACCTGACAGATCAATATCACACAGTATGCTATTCGAAAATGGCGATTATTCAAATGTGCGTAAAGTGATGCACGACTACTTCCCGAATCGCCATCACCACTAAGTTAAGCGGAAAAGCCTTCGCAGCTCTGCGTGACTGTGATGCCATGCACATAGCATCAGTTTTTCTTTCGCTGCTCTCTGTCTACATTCACATACAAATGTACCAACGATGCATTGCTCCCACTGGTCACTCAACTTCAATGTCGAAAAGAGGAACACAAGCACCATCCTATGACCTTAACATACTCAACTGTATTGTTGGGATATGTTCGTTTCATTGGGATGAGAGAAAAAATAAAAACTTTCATTTTCGGCTATGAGAGGCACGCCCGTAAGGGTATCTTTTTATATATACTTCCGCACGCATGGATGTTGTTGCGGGTCCGTCAAATATTCCCGCAAAAATGCGTCGGAAACCCCGGCAGAGGCATCCCCACAATTACAACAGTAGCAACAAAGTTGATGAACCATGACTGACGAATACGCCGATTTAAAACTGATGCTGCAGCAACAACTTAAGTTGATGTCCGTCATAACCGAAAAGCTCTCCAGTTCTTCCCTTCACGCAGGTCCAAGCGCCAATTCTCAGTCAATGGACCAGGTGGTTAGCGGCATCAGCGAATTCTTGTACGACGTCAAGGCCGGGGTAACGTTCGAATCTTGGTACAAAAGACCTGTTCACCGTTGACTTGGCTTGCCAGAACGACGCGTGGAAGGTCCGGCTGCTTCTTCGCAAACTTGGTACGCTCGAACACCAACGCTATACCAACTTCATCTTACCGAGGAACCCACGCGACGTTACCTTTGACGAGACGGTCCGAACGTTGTCCCAGATTTTTGGTGAGCAGTCCTCTCTGTTCAATGCTCGTTATCAGTGTCTGCAGCTGGCCAAAGGTGATGCCGACGAGTTCATCACGTACGCGAGAGCGGTCAACCGTGAATGCCAACGTTTTCAACTTGGCTCGCTCACCAAAGACCAATTCAAATGACTGGTTTTCGTCGCTGGCCTCCAGTCTTTACACGGTGCTGATATCCGGATGCGCCTCCTGTCCAAGCCACAACAGGATAGCTCAGTCACACTCCAGAACCTGGCCGAGGAGTGTCAAACGCTGCTCAACCCGAAGCACGATTCTGCAATGATCCAGAACGCCGCCGCACCAGGGCAGTCCCAGCACCGAGGGCGTAATCGTCCGCGCGCCCCACCCAATCCGACAGAGCGAAATCCCCACCTTACGCGTGCCGATTCTGTGGTGTCTGGCATTTTCACCGCGACTGCAATTTCCGCCAGCATCGTTGTGGCAGGATGGGGCACCGGGATGGTTACTGCCATCCTCCATCTCCCAAGGGGGCCAAAACTGGGCTGGCCCCCACCAACGATCCAAAGAAGAGGTCCCGACCCAGACGCACACCCAAACCTGGTCCGGTTGGCAGCTCCCTGAGCCTGCTGGCCACGTTCCAAATCAACGCTGCGGATCGGAGAAAATTCGTCGACGTCTCGATCAACGGTCA